AGTCAACCCCTTTGAGCGTAAGAAGTATGAGTTTTGTTTTTCATGCAAATTGAAACCCTTAATCATAACCTAGGGCAGGGTAGTTTCTTAGTTAATTTAATGGTGCATTCAATCGCAAGCTTTCCCTTCGTACATGACGAGTAGTGTCTTAGGTATCCTTCCAAAACAAATGATGGTGATGGTTTCACATAATCATTGAAACTGGAAATCATTATATCTCAAAAGAAAAGCCCGCTAAGTCAAAACCTATGAATGAGACTTAAGAAAAAAATGGGGGCATCTCGCTGACTGTAATCACAAAAGAAACGGTTCAAGCAAAAGGTATTGATAATAAAATATAAAAAATAGGTCGCTACAAATCCTCAACAAAAAGAAAATATTACAAAAAATGAGTATAGGACTGAAGGACATCACAAAGAACGGGTTGGGTACAAATAAATTTCAAGCCTTTATCCTTTGTTTCTTAAACTGTGAACCAGGCCACGTTACAACCCCTAAAAGTCCTAATTGAAGCATGGGTTACTTTGAAAGCATACTATTACAAAAAGGTATCCTGACTCTTGTAAGGCTTAAAATCTTGAGTTGATATCACATTCTTGCAAATTTTGTTTTACTAAAAAAATGAATTTTCAAAAACTTCAAGACAGGCATAAGCTTTGCATTTTGAATACTATTGTTTGCATATAACTAATCATTCAACAACAGAGAAATTCGCACGATGAATATTCAATGAACGAAAATCCTCTAAATGAATAAAAACACCTCAGATGGAAAGACATTTCAAATATCAGGCTTTTCATAATCAAGGGGCATGGCATGGTGTCCAACTGATTTGGGGGCAGTCGATTCAAGATTCAAGGAATTCCTAAAAAGTGCCGAATAGCCAGGGACAGATCTCCATCTAAATCACTTGGGGAATTATACATGAATTCCAGCAAAGGATCACGTACGATCAAGCAAACATTTTTCTGGCAGTGCTGCAACACTTACTATTATAGACAGTGGAAATTTTCCGCACCCTTTGAACGTGGACATAGTCGGAAAATACTACACATGAAAATGTTTTGATAACGTTTTTGTGTAAGTGTAAAATTTTATTTTTGAGCATAGCATCTAGGAACTATCTACTTATACTCGAAAGGTTTGTTATCTTCCTTCTTCCCTTTGGACAAGGCTATCCTACTATTAGTGAGTAGGTATCCATAGTCGTTTGGATATATGAGGGACATTCGTGGGTCATTGTACAGTCATAAAGGCGACATATAGAGACGCTTTAGCAATTTTGTTTAAGGTACTAGATCATTTACCGAAAGGCAACACTGTAGGGTCATCGAGGGACTATAATCTTTTGATTCGAGGGTCTTTGCTAAAGCGTCCCTAATTTCGAGGGACATGACTGTTTTATTTCTGAGGGCAACCAAAGTGGGAGTACCCTAGAGGTGTATATGTGCAACTGTGTTGTATTCAGTTATTTTTTGTCTTTTGTGTTAGGTTTGCTAGCATTTGATTATTAATCTTATCATACAATCCCATTAGTCATACATCTAGCGGTTAATAATTGCAGTAATTAAAAGTGAAGAAATATAAAAACCTAGCTATTACAAGGCATCGGGGAGGGGGATTATTATATGTCCAAACTTTGGGGAAAAATAAAGAAAACAGTAAAATAAAAGAGTCATAATTATAGTCTATTACAACCAGGAAGCAGATACAGTAATATGATAATGCTAAAATAAAATTGCGCGCGAATTAGAAAAGACGTTTAAAACCCTATGGAATAATAATCTTTTTGTTTTATTTTTGATTTTTATGAAATAAAATAAATTAAAAAATGAAATTAAACCTAAATTCTAATTTATTTTAATTTTGAGAAGAAAGATGTTAAAATTAATTAATTAATTAATTCAGAAATTGATTTAATTAATAAAACCTAATCCCAAATTTTATGATGATTTTTATTTTATGTTAATTTAAAAAGGGAAACTATAAAAAAGAAATGAGTAGCAAAAATAAAAATGCAAGAAGCAAAAGCCTTTCGATCCAAAGAAAAAATGGCTTTCGATCCAAATGAAGGGTCGCCCTCGATCCAATGAAGGGTGGCCTTCGATCCAGGGAAGGATGTGGCCTTTGATACAGCAGAGAATATTGTTGGAGGTGTATGTTGTACTCCTGTAGGAAATTTATTAGAGAAAACAAGATAAAAATCCAGACTTGGGTCGAATCCAGTCTTAGATTCGACAGCTTGTGGCTGCATAATCCTAATTCGGATCCTATGGGTCTGAATTGAAATCTACTTCGTTTGTCCTACAACCTCATGAACCTTGAGATTCGAAAGAAAATATGGATCATGCCCAAGCCATGGCACGATCCCAACCCCTACACTTAATCTTGGATGTAGCACATGAAAGCAATAACAAACATTAGCAATAACATGAATGTATGATTAACATGAATTTAAAAATTACATGCTTAGCTAGTTAGAGATCGAAAATAAGTTACCAACAGACAGATTGTGTGAGTGATGCTCTAGTGTATGTTGGGCCTTCCTAGTGCTTGGGAACGCCTCCTGCAAACTTCAGGGAGTGAGTGGGACGTTGTTGAAGATTGCTTCGATTTGGATCACTTATGAGATTTTTGATAACTTTGGTGTGGCTTATGAGGCAGTGTGTGTGTAGTCTTTCCTTGTGTGTATGTATATATCTGCGCATGTACCTTGTGTATTTATAGGAGATGGAGATAGGGTCATAGCTTAGAAATGGCAAGGGACAGTGTGATCGGTGGATCTGGAACTGACTGTTTAACGCTGGTTCGCGAAATGTCGCGGTAAGCAAGAGTCGCCACCGTCTTTTATTTTCTCCAATATGGAAAGGACAAAAGCACAGAAAAATTCCTTATTGAGATTAGTTCTCGGTTCGGGAGGTAGATTTATAGAAAGGGAAGGTGTTAGCACCCTTTCTATCCATGGTTATCCATGGGCTCTTAGATACTTGCTCATTGTGTTTTCAAAATGTTTGTTTGCTTTTCAAGGTGAGTGGGTTTGAAAAAGTTTCTTTGAAAGTTTCAGATCGACTCTTGTATCAGTCCTCAAGAGTGTTTGAAAAGTTGTTTTGAAAGCTTTTTGCAAAGTGTCGGTGTGAAAAGAAGTTTTTTTTGATTTGTTTTGAATTAGAGCAAGTATCTACGAGTCATCTACCTACCCTAAGGAATTAGTCTGTGTAAATGTCCTTAAGGTAGTGCCATCCCACCATTGAGAGGTAGGTAGCACCACCGTTGGAGGTGTTCGGGTCAATTCGAGGATTAGGGACAATGTGGTCACCAGAGCAATAGGAGGATACCTTAGAAGCTACCCCCATGCCATGTTCATGGACATGAGGACTTACTAAAACGTCCTCTACTCGACGACCACGTTTCGAGGGGCAAGGCAACAGTGAGACGTACCCTAGGGGTGGTGTGTGAATTGTGTGTCATTTTCAGTTATTGTTTATCTTGATCATGCATTGAGTGTTCTACGCTTTGATTTTATTTGAGCATTCATTCTTTCATGTGATTATTAACAGTTTAAAGGTGCAGAAATTAAAATGCGGAACAATAAAGGTCCTACGCTATTACAAGGCGCGGGTCTACATCGCCAAATTCAACCAAGACCCGATTTAAATAAATAAAATGCGGAAAATAAATATCCTAATTATCTATTACAAGGCTTTGGGATAAATACATTATATTCACAAAAGAAATAAAATGAACGTGCGAAAAGAAATAAGAATTGAGTGTGAGGGCGTTGGACCCTTTAAAGAAATTAGATTGGAATTATTAAATTTAATTAAATTAAATAAAGAAAAGAACTTATTTTTTGATATTTTTGTATTTAATAGAAATGAAGAAAATTAATTGGAATTAAAACCCTAATTCTAAGCATTTTTAATTATTAAAGAAATAAATTCAAGTTTGACCTAATTTACTAATTATTTAATTATAAGTTATTTACAAAAATAATTAATAATTAATAGTGATAAGAAAAAATATTATTTATTAAGAAAAGGAATAAAAATGCTAAAAGACTTGTTTTTATATTTTTTTAATTATCTAAGAAAAAGCATTAAAGTTAAAAACTTAAAATTAAAACTAAATTGATTATTAAGTTTATTTACAAAATAAAACATTTAGTGAATTAAATAATAAAAATATTTTATTTTTGACTTTCTGACTTTTTTGTATTTTTATGTATTAAAAAAATTAATTTAAGGAATTAAAAGAAAATAATTAAAACAAATAAAAAAATAGAAAAAGAAGAATAAGGGAAAGAAATACAAACATAGGGGGGTGGTTGACCCAATTTGGAGGTTATATGCAAGTATTTTTGGCCCAATAAGTCAGGGGCCCAATAAAATTTAGTTAAATGGGACATTTTAATGTCATTTTTGAATGAAACAACATAAACATTAATATAAGTTTTAGTTATATGCATCAAATGGATTACATGTGACCCTTATGGACTAACCCTAATCCTAATGGGTAATGACTTTTTTATGACCGAGCCAAAAATACCCTTACAACATTTGAGTTTTAATTTTATAATTCAAACTTTATATTTTATCTGGTTTTTCAGAACGATATTTTCTGCAGAGTTTCTCTTTCCCCATAAATTATGAAAAATTTTATTAATCACTTGCAACTACATATTTTTTTATTATAATGAATTGACTTAATTACAAACTTAGGGGTTACTCCTTATTTATAGATTTTTATTAGCTCAAAACCCAAAACTATAAAAGTCCAAAATACATATTTTAGTACTAAATCAAATATATTTATTTTAGATCTAAATCAAATCTATTTAAATCTAAAACAAATTTAATGTGTGTGCTCTTCGACACACTATAGTTTTGACACTATAAATTACAATTTAACAATATGAAATATTCCATCTTAAATGCTTCACAAAATTTATTACTCTAATGCGTTTTTTTCAAGCATGACTATATTATCTATGAACTCAAAATATGCAGGAAGCAGGACCTGGTGGACTAGGAGGAGGTGGAATATGGGGTGCAGCAACTGATGAGAACAGAATCTATACCAACATTGGAAATTCAGAAGGAAAAACTTTCCAACTTTTACCATCAAATGTGAATACAACAGCTGGAGCATGGGTGGCAATGGATGCTAGAAATGGAAAAATTCTTTGGTCCACTGCAAACCCTAGCAATGGTCGTCCTATTGGCCCTGTTAGTGTGGCAAATGATGTTCTTTTTGGTGGATCTACAGATAATTTGGGACATATATATGCAATGAATGCAAGAAATGGTAAAATTATATGGTCTTTTGAAACTGGAGGTAGTGTTTATGGTGGCATGTCAATTAGCAATGGATGTATTTATGTTGGTAGTGGATATAATGTCTCTTTAGGAGTTGTTTTTAACTATACAGGTGGAACGACACTGTTTGCATTCTGTGTCTAAAGAATTTATTTAGTCACTATATGAATGTATAAATAAAAGAGAATGGTATATGATCTATAGGTCAAAGATATATGACAATAAATAAGATGTAACATTAAAATTAACAAAGAAATTGTTGTTGCTAATACTTCTTTGTATATGATCATGTCATGAAAACATGCAAAACAAACAGGCTGTGAAGTAGTTTAAAATACATTTATCATATTTTTCTCAAGGATTTTCCATATTCTACTTTAATCCTCCCATAATTTAATATACTTTTTATTTTGTTAAACTAAAGAAATGGAGCTAACAAGAATAATTTCTATAATTGGAAGATGAAACTCTAATTTTCTTTTAAGGAGAGGAGTGTAGCCTTTTGCTTACTATTGTACGGGTGTGTTAATCTTCTTTATTGTTAAAATATGCTAGAAGTTGCATAATTATAGTTAGAAATATGATCGTTATTGTTGGAAAAAAAAATTAATTTTAGATTAAGTACATTGTCAACCCTATCAAAACATTGAGGGATGTTTAGAAAAAGAATGAGATGCTAATGCAGATTATTTTCATGCTTGTATGAGGTAAAGGAGTAGGAGCTTGACTTCTTTTAGGGTTGCGGATGGGTGGGTGGAGGAGGATGTTGAGGTTTGTAGGGAGGTTTCCAAGTATTTTAAGAATTTTTTGACTATGGGATTATAAGCCTCTTTCTTATGAGATTATGATACCTTGTCATTTGTACACAAACGTCTTTGAGGGCATACAAGTCGAACAACATTACAGGGTCTAAAATTTAATAAGATTAAATCGTGGTTAAAAAGACCTCATAAAATATTTATCACTGTTAAAATATGACAAAATAGGGCCTATGTTTGTTATGTCACAACTAAATCGTGGTTAACATACGCATGACCTCCAAAAACTTAATGCGACTTTGCATTTGCCTAAGAAGACAAATAGGCTATTTGTCAAGTTTGTCCCCTCTAAAGTAGATGAGGCGATTATAGGTTTAGATAGATGTAAATGTTTGAGTGAGAATGGCTTTTATTTTTCTTTTTACAGAATGTTTTTGGAGTTATTAAAGGTGAAGATATATGATATGTTCGACCATATTCTCCCAAAAAAATTGACATCTTTTTACGTAGCTCTTATCCTGAAGGTGGGTTATGTGTTGAAGCTTAATGATTTAAGACTTATTTCTCTCGTTGATTCTCTATATAAGTTGGTGGATAAATTCTTAGTGGCTAGGTAGGAAGGGTAGGATTTTGACTGAAGGAGTGGTTGGCTTCAATGAAGTGAAAGATTTGGCCAAAGCCTCCAAGAGGGAGTGCTTTGTGTTTAAGTTCGACTTTGAGAAAGCTTATAACTCAATCAGTTGGTCTTTCTTGGACTACATGTTGAAAAGGTTTTAGTTCGACGTGAGGTAGTGGGTGTGGATATATGTGAGCCGTCATTTTTCCAAGTAGCTATTCAATTTTGGTTAATGACTTCCCGAAGGAGGAGATAAGTATCTAAATTTGTCTCAATCAAGGGGAACATTTTGATCCTTTTATCTTCCTTTTAAAGGTGGAGGGTCTTAGTGCCTCTTTGAAGATGGCAGTTTGAGTTGGATTGCTTGTGCGCTTAAGGTTGGCTTTGAAAGTTTAGAGGTGTTACACCTCTATTATATCGATGATAATGTTATTATTGGGATCCTGTCGCTCGATAATATTTTGACTATTAATCTGATTCTTATTATCTTTGAGCTTGCTTCTAGCCATATGGTTAAGTTCTCTAAGAGTTGTATCTATAGGGTTAGTGTGGACAGGAAATTTTTGGACTTGGCAGAGGGTTTCTTGCATTTTAGATCATATAACTTTCCTGTCAAGTATTTAGGGCTTCTGGTCGATGTTAACTCAATGAAGAAATAGAGTTGGGAGCCTTTGGTCAATGTGGTGTCCACTACACTTACTTATTGAAGGAGTAGGTTTATGGGTCTCCCTAGGGGTGTCCTCCTGAATTCTATTTTGAACTCGATTCCTGTTTTATTTATGTTTGTCTTAAAGATTTTTGTTAAAGTTTGGAAGAGGTTAGTTGGACTGCAAAGGTGGTTCCTTTATGGTGGATCAAAAAGGGGGACTAAATTACATTGGGTAAAGTGGAATGATGTGTGCAAGACCAAGAGGGTTGATGATTTAGAGGGTTAATGATCTAAAGCCTTTGAAGATGGCTTTCTTAAGAAAATAAAGGTGTAAAATTCTTTAGGATAAGTCGTCTCTATTGAAGGATATTGTTTCTTCAAGATATGGAGCTTATGGAAGGTTTCTCATTGATGGAGACGGGTCTCCCTTCTTGGTTCCACACCTGATTACTAACTGGATTGGTTCAACTCTTCTTGTACAAACATGGTTAGGGATGGTTTGAAAACTAGTTTCTAACATAATATTTTAGTGGGGGTGACCCTGTTGTGTGTTTCTATCGAGAGGTTCTTCCTCTTATCTGAGCAAAAACCTTTTGTGGTGGGTTTGTGGGGAATGAGGAAAAAGTCGTTTTAGTTTGAGACTTTATGTGGAGACCCTCACCCTTGTCTATAAGGAACAACTTTTGGTGTATTTATTTAGTTATATAGCTGGAGTGGTTCAACATCGTCAAGTAGATGTATGGGTGTGGATCCCTAATACCACAGAAGGTTTCTCGGTGAGGTATTCATATGTTAGGCTTTCCTTTTAGGTAGCTGATGAGGAAAGTAGATCGTCCAGGGTGACCTGGGGGTTATGTAGGGTTTTAAAGAGCTCAAAACCTTCTAAATCAGTAGTCTTTTCTTTGCAGCTACTACACATAGATTTTTGACCATGAAAATATTCTAAGACGCCAAATTGTGTTTGTTGAAAGTAGCGTGGAGTGTCAGTTTGTCTAAGGTAGGTGGAATTTATGGATCACTTGTTCATCGACTATTAGGTTATTTCCTCTCTCTTGGACAAGGTGATTAGTTTGGTGGGTATTCTTACACCTCTTATATGTTCCACCTTAGATGTTTTTGAGCTTTTTAAGGATTTTTTTTACTTGAGTTTTGTGGGTATCCTTAATCACTAGATGAGTTTGATTATTTACTTGACTTGGAAGTGGGTTCATGATCATGCTCTGGGATCTAGCTGTTTTTGCTAGACTTGGAGCTACACATGTTCTAGTTCTTTCTATGGAACCATGTTTTGAAGGTTTAGTAATCAGAGAAGCTCTAAAAAATTCTCTAGATAATGAATATGCTTTTGATGATTAAAATTAGCTTCTGATGATGGTTTTGTATCTCAAAATTTCCCTCCCAATTTACTCAAGACATGTTCATTAAGGTCTTCAATTGCTCAAAATTGACCTAGAATTGATCAGACAAATTCTCCTTCTAAGCAATGGCCTTTCAACTAGGGTTTCACTTTTCACAAATATGTGTGAGCTCCAAAGGTCCTAATATGTCTTCAAGATTGTCCATGCCAAATTTCATGCCTTACACTAGAAGTTTGCTCAATCAACTGCTCAAGTGTTTGAAAATCAATTATACTAGGTCAAAAGTTAATTGTGGCCAATATACAGTCAAACTTCAATATTTTTGGTCAACATCAATATTTTGAAATGATATCCATCATTTGATCAAGGGTTGATCATGATTCCTCAAGGAATGCTCTTAATTTATCAAAAGTCAAGAATTGTTAAATTGGGGTTTCTAAAGGAAAAGTCAACTGAACTTTGACCAGGCATAACTTTCATATATTTCATCCATTTTCCCCCAAAAAAAGCTCACTTTGAAGATAATCCAATTCTCCACAACTTTTCTTTTATCCTCAAGCTCAAGAAATTCATCATTTAGAAGATATGAGTTCATACATTACAGGTCATTTTCAAAAAGTCAACAAAAGACACTTTTTGTCAAGACAACTTACATCAAGATAATGTCTTCAAAAGAAACTATTATGAACATATATATTTTATAGGAAATCTTGGGCTTTCCAAAAAGTCAAAGATCATCTTCAAAAGATGAAAATTGAGCAAGTTATGGTTTGCACAAGTTGGGCAAATTTGTGAAAAAATTCATGAAGTCAACTTTGAGAAAATTGTATTTTTAAGTTAATGGACCTAACATTTAGGGTTTAAACATGTTTATGACATACCCAGGGAACTCTAAACCTAACCATGCACTATTTTGATTTTTATTTCTATTTATTTGAATTTTTATTCATTTAAATATGAATTAAATCAAATAAATTAAATAAAAATACAAAGAATAATGGGCCATGACATTTGGATTTGATATGATCTATTAGAAGGCTCATATTTTTGTGCAAGATACATCCAAAGGGACCAGGTTCATGCAAGTGACCAAACTTGCAAAGATATCACAAATATGGACATTTTTCAATGTGTTTTATCCTTGTCTCTAAGGCCATGAATGCATTGATTCTTTACCATATTTGTTCACTCATATCTTCCCTCTATAAATACATAACATTACAAGCCAAAGGGAGCACTAAATTCCTCTTCAAAAATCTCTCTAAAAGTCTTCTTAAAATTCACAAAAAAATCAAAAAGTTACAAAATCTGTAACTTCACTTCCAGGCGCTATCAACCCAAACCAAAATCATCAATCCTCTCCTGAGTTTCCCAAGAGTCCTCCAGAGCCCAGGTTCAAGCCTTGCACGTCTCAGATCCTCCTCATAACCATCCTACGGTTTTTGGTAAAATTTTGAATCTCAAATCCTCTAAATTATGTAATTTAAATCAGTTTTATGCATGCATTCATATTACTATTGATGTTTTGAGTAGATCTAACATCTTACATGCTAGCTTAGGTACCTCAATCGAAGAAAACCATTCTTAGGGCACTCCTCTTCCAGGTCCTGGGTTCGACCCAGACAGGAAACAAATTTTTATTTTTTCTAACCTTTGTTTTGCAGATCCAACAGGCGCCTGGGCCCTCTTGTTATTGGACCTGGGGTTTCTGTTTATTCTCACCCCCTAATAATTTTTGCAATGCCCAGGCCCTCTTTCTGATA